CCTTCGTCTTCTTCCCTGGCTGCGGCACATCTGAACCAGCCACCTGTAGTCCTGAAGGAGCAGTGATTGACAAGGACCCCCATGGTGGGGTTTTGGGGCCTGGACAGCAACGAGGGGTCCTAAGTGCAGCTGTCAGTGTCTCCTGACCTGGCACATCATGCTTTTTAGATACTGGAGAGGAGTCACGTGTGGGGCCTTGGTGCTCACCTTGGCTCTTTGTGCTAGTGTACGCCTATACTCGGGAGGCAATTGCATGCACTCATGGTTTCCTCATTTCACTGACTTAAGCACGGGAGACTCCTAGAAGCAATGTCTCTCCAGGGGTTAACTCCTAAAATAACCCTCTCCCCTGGTTGGAGGCATTTCTTTCTCATCCTCCCCATCCCAAGCCTGCTAATGGCCACCCTGTCATTTCTTGACCACTCACCCCATCCTTTTGTTGTCAGATAGGCCCATCTCCCTTTCTGCTGTCCTGTCCACCGCTGACAGTCACTTCGGGCTCCATCCAATCCCCTCCTCCAGGAAGCTTCTTGGACAACCCCGCATTGCGGTTTCCTCCCTGTAACTGCCAGCGGCACTCATCAGGCAGACTGGCCCGTGACAGAGTCTCTGATTGTGTCCCATCGAGATACAAGGATCTCCTTTCCCATGGTTTTCTGTCTCTTCTTTTAGCCATATCTTATCTGATCACACCTCAACTCGCCTCTACTCCTCTTAAAATGGGAAGGCTGGAGTTAAACACAGTAACCAAGGAATGCTCCGTCCAGCCCCGAGGAAAGGGGGGCTCATTACTTATACCTTTATTCCAGATACTCACCTTCTAGACTTTTCCACATCATTCTAGTGCTTTGGCCTGAGGTTACCAAATGCCAGGTGTCAGAGTATAAAGGGCTGATTCATTGGTGGTAACAGCAGGACCTCCACGGTCTTTCCATCTCTTTACTGAGGCAAGTCCAAATGTAATTCATCAGGACACTTTCCTGCCTTCTTTGTTCCTCAAAAGCAAGAGGCCATATTCAGTCCCTCAAATCTCAAAAATTCAGTTATTTTGTGGAATTCTGGAGATGCCCTTAGTATATGACCCATGTATAAAAAGTAGAGATCTTGGTCATTTTCTGCACTACCCTGCCCTACCTACCCCCCAATCAACTGGGTGTGTTGATGATGGTCTATAAACCACACAATGGTTTCACCTGCTGCTTCCAGGGAGGGTGACTGATTCTGCCACCCCCTCTGCCAGGTGACTCTGAGATTCCAAAGGCTGGCACTGCAGTACCAGTTCAGTCCCGAAATAACTGGATAGGCCAGACCTTACAATGTGTTCATCTATTAAAAAGAAAGGAGAAGGCTGGGTGCAGTGACCCACACCTGTAATCCCAGCACTTTGGGAGGCCGAGGCAGGTGGATCACCCGAGGTCAGGAGTTTGAGACCATCCTGGCCAACATGGTGAAACCCCATCTCTACTAAAAATACAAAAATGAGCTGGGGCATGGTGGTGCATGCCTGTAGTCCCAGCTGCTTGGGAGGCTGAGGTGGAGAATCACTTGAACCCGGAGGTGGAGGTTTCAGTGAGAACTCCAGCCTGGGCAACAGAGCAAGACTGTCTAAAAAAAAAAAAAGAGAGAGAGAGAAAATGTGCTCCCTTCCTGAACTATTGTGAAGTATAACAAAGTTGGCTGTTCTTGCTACTGCTGCCACTGCTAGGTGAACTACCAGTGCACCTGCTATTTTTATGATTTACTAACTGTCCACATGAAACAATGAAAGTAGGGTTTTGGGGGGATAAGAGGACAAACCACTCTCTCTCCCTTTCTTTCAACATTTGTACCCATGTGTCAGAATTTGTAGAAAATTTTGCAATTTGGTCAGTTTCCTCTAATTTGTACATATCTGGGATGTGATACCCTGTGTGGAGGCCAGAGGGGTCTTTGTCACAAGAAGTATCAGCGCAGAGAAGGTCCATATGCATTTAGACTGGAGGAAATGGGCAGGGATGTGAGATGATGAAGCTCTCAGACAGAGGGTCCTGCTGGGCACAGAAGACTGGCTGCCCTGAGAGGCTGGCAAAGTCACACGCAGGGTCTCTGAGAGTGTGAATGGCACTGGCCCAAGGGACGTGCCACCTACTCCCCTGCCTGCCTACCTGACCCTCAGTAATCCACATCATCCTTTTTTTTCTTTTTTTTTTTGAGACAAGGTCTTGCTCTGTTGCCTAGGCTGGAGTTCAGTGGTGCAATCTCTGCTCACTGCAATCTCTGCCTCCTGAGTTCAAGTGATTCTCCTGCCTCAGCCTCCCAAATAGCTGGGACTACTACAGGCATGTACCATCACACCCTGCTAATTTTTTTTTTTTTTTTTTGTATTTTTAGTAGACACAGGGTTTCATCATATTGGCCAGGCTGGTCTCAAACTCCTGACCTCAGGTGATTGGCCCACCTTGGCCGCCCAAAGTGCTGGGATTATAGGCATGAGCCACCGCACCCTGCCTCACATCATCCTTTTAACAGGAAGAGAACCTTTAATTCCACAAATATACTTAGACTCAACATTTCAGTGAAAACATAGTTTCTAAAGTAATGTATGGGTTGAGTTCATAATAGAAGTATTTTCATGGAAGTGACGGAAGGACCTTCCTTGGAAGCTCTCAGACACATGGTCTCCCTGAGAAAGGAAAAATAGAATATAAGCTCATTCACATTACGTGAAAATGACACAGAGAGGCTATTTGCAGACTCTGAGTTTTGCCATGAGGAAAGAAAAAAGGAAGGGTGTGAGTTAACGCTGGACTCTTAAAATAGAGAAGGAGGGGTTAGGGACCAGAATACGAAAGGGGAAGAAGGGTGACTCCTGATCTCAAAAAAAAATTAGCATTATCCAAATATCCAATGAACCTTCCCTGCTAGAAAATGAACAAGTTTCTTGACACAAATAAGAGAAGATGCTAACATTTCTTTATTTCAGGTTATAAGTAAGTAGATAAGTTATATTATTCTCTGTACTCTTCTATTATTTCAATTTTTTTATACTTCAAAAAACATGCAAGGAAAAATTGAAAATAAGAATCTCCATCAATACAATGGAACACTGTGCTGCTGTTTAAAAAAGTGAGGAAGTTCTCTATATTCTCACATGGAAAGGTCTCTAGAAAATTGCAAAGTAAAAAAAAAAAAAAAAAAAAAAACAAGTTTCAGAACAGTATATTTCATCCAGTCCTATCTGTAGGAAATACTGTTAAAGTATGTTTGTATATGTCCTTTTATATGCATAGAGTTAAATCTAGAAAAGACAAGTTATTAACAGAAGGTGAATTATATGCCTTAGGTGTTTTTCTAAAGTATGAATTTCTATGATGAACATGTATTACTTTTATATTCACGGTAAAGCAATAATGAGGTTTTTTTTCCTTAAGACAGAGTCTCCCTGTGTCACCTAGGCTGGAGTGCAGTGGTGCGATCTCGGCTTACTGCAACCTCCGCCTCCCAGGTTCAAGCAATTCTACTTGCCTCAGCTTCCTGAGTAGCTGGGATTACAGGTGCCCGCCACCACACCCGGCTAATTTTTTGTATTTTTAGCAGACATGGGGTTTCATCATGTTAGCCAGGCTGGTCTCGAACTCCTGACCTCAAGTGATGCACCCGCCTCAGCCTCCCAAAGTGCTGGAATTACAGGCATGAGCCACCATGCCGGGCCAACAGTGACTTTTATAAATAACCCATGGAGCAGAAATGCCAAGCCTCAAGCTCTTCCCAGTTACTAGGCCGCCCCGTGGGTCTTTGACTGGAGATTTCCCCCTGCCCTGTCCTTGCATGGCCTCCTTCCTGATGTGACACTTGGATGCCGCTGAGAGGGCCCGTGACAGATGCCAGCAGTGGTGGCGATGACAAGCCCAAAGCCACATTTGTTCCATTACTTCCACCTCCTCGTTGCCTTTCCAGTCCCTGCAGTGAGAGCTTCTTTCTCTTATCTGCACAAAGCAAGAGTCAAAAGTTCTTGTCAGTGTGATTGCAGAACATCGGACTGGAAAACTTCCTGATAATACCTAAATTCCTTTAGCAGAGCCGACCCTGGAATCGGGTCAGGAGAGCTATGTGGCTTCAGCACATTGTGTACTGTGCAGTTGGAGAATAAACCAGATGAAATTTGGCAAATAAAAATGTAAGGGACATATAAGGATGTCGTTCTAGTCCCATCTGGTGTGATAACCCCTTTCCCACACCAGTTTATCTGTTCCCTTAGCAAAACCATGCAGGCTACTGAGGAAGAGTCTCTGCTTGTGTGAGCCATTGAGGAGTTCCAAAATAGACACAAAGATAGGAGGAATACAAAGAAATTCCAAATAATAGAAACATAAGGATCAAGCTGAAGATTCTGAGACACATTTATGGCCTTTGTAAACAGTCATACATTCATTGGGACACTCTTTGGGACACTCTGGTGACATTAGCTAATTCTGACATTTAGGAATTTAAACTTACTAGCTGTCCTAGCTTATCCTTATTAACAAAGTTTGCTAAACATTTTGTGCTGTGTGCCCTGCTTTATGTTTGAAGATGATGCAAACGGCAGCCTGTCATCTCAATTCCATCTCTCATCGTAAAATCTGAGGGACACAGCCACGTGCTCCCACCGTGTTTTCCTCTGGCTTCATTCTGCACAGAGCATTCTCTGTTATTTCCTTCATCTTCCCCAGTTTAGCTTCAAAAACACATGGGTTCCCCTAGAAAATGGGAAGAAATGCAGAAACCTGCAAATAAAGTTTAACGAATGATATCCCTTGATAGAGCACTCTTTCCTCCACGCCAAACAAACCACTTTTATTAACTCGAATTCCCTTATGGGAAACCAAATAATTTAAAATATAGCTCCACTCTTACCTAAACTGAAAACAAACTGGAGAGAGGTGTACTTCTATTAGAAATGACACATCAAAGCATTTCCACAAAAAAGCCCTTTGATCCTCCTAAGCCACTGACCTTGCTCCTGGGTTTCACTCCCTCAGGTAACCAGGTGAGTTTCTCCAAATCTGCAGATGCTTTTGCCTTTGAAGAGGACAGCAGCAGCGATGGCCTGTCTCCGGATCAGACTCGAAGTGAAGACCCCCAAAACTCAGCGGGATCCCCGCCAGATGCTAAAGCCTCAGAGACCACTTTGACAGGTTCTCTGGGGACAATCCAGGTAAAAAAAAAAAAAAAAAAAGTAAAACAGCATCTCAGCGCATTGTCATTTCACAGTCTTAAAATCAACACTGTTACAGCTGGCTTTGCTTAGAGACCCCAGAGTTTCCTTGCTGACACAGCATTTTGATGCCTCTTCTCACGCTATTCAGCACAGCCATCTATGTGGGGTGATAAAACCTGCAGAAAACACTGGAAGAGAACCTCCAGAACTACACCATTTATCCATTAACCATCCACTCTGCCCAGCAGATATATCGATATCTCCATTTTTATGAAGCATCTAAGGCTTGGCGAGATTGGATGACTCACCCACAATCTCCCAGCTAGAAAGTGCCAGAGCAAGACTGATTTAAAGTTCACCATCTCTCTGTGTCCCAAGTACTCATGACAGGGGTCAGGGGAGTGGAGAGAAGGAAGCACTGGTTTACTCCAAGGCAGGGAGGCCCATATTGGTTCTCCTCTTGGCAGGTTTCTACCTAGCAAACTGCTGCGGAATCGACTTCCAACCCCAACACGAGCATAACACTCACCTCTTTCCGGACAAATCGACAAACGCTTGAGCATGAGGAACATGTATTGAGAATACTCTTAAAGCACATTTATAAAGAACAATGATGATTATGAACAATAGCTCCTGCTGCATGTTAAATGTTCACTTTGGGGCAGGGGCAGTGCCAAGTCCTTCACAAATGAAATCAGAGACCCCTCCAAGTAGATATCATTGAGGTTGATTCTGACAGAGGAGGAACAAAGCTCTGTGAGGCTGTTAGAAGCAAATTTTCAGTGTCACAAAAAAAAAAAAAGTACTCGAACATGAATTTTCTCAGCAAGACAATTTTTACTTCTATAGAAGTTTGTGTCTTGCCGATGAAGCAATGGTGAGAACACACCTGAACAAAGGAGGAAAAGGGGTTCTTATCCCTGATGCAGGTCACCCCTACCGCTGTGTCATTCCCCTATTGGCTAGGGTTGGATGGCATGGTCTAAGCTAATTCCAACTGGCTATTTTAAAGACAGCAGGGGTACGAGCCAGAGTGGCAGGGTGAGCAGTCTCAGTGGGAAAGATGGCTTTGGAACAGATGACTAAAGGTAACTCAGGTCAGAGCAGGTGACCAGGGGTGACTCAGGATGGAGCAGATGACCAGGGGAACAGGTGTGAACTACTGATTACAGCTGGCAGGAAAGTTGTTTAATGAAAATGGGGCAAAGAGATGAAGAGAATGAGGAAGTTAAGCTTTAAGATAGAGAACAAGGAACACGGAGGCTGAACATACTGGCATACTGATTCTTTGAAGAGAAATTTGGAACTCACTAAGTTCAACAAGGCTGAGCAACTGGGTGGTCTCTAGAAATATCACAGAGTGTCAGCAATCCTTGGGGAGAACAGCCAGAGGGTATTCATGGAGCCCCTAAGAGAGAGATCCATGTGGGCGTCCCCATATGAGGGGAAGGAGATGTGAGCTCTTCCATCTCTGCCGCTTTCCAGAGAACCCTGCAGACCCTCAGCCCCTTCCCTTTAGGAAGCATTTATTCCTCCTGACCTCACAGGAATTGTGCAATGAACTGAAATTAGATGTATTTGAAAGCTGTTATTTTTTCCCACTGAAAAATACCGTGCAGATATTGGGACAGTTAAAATAATTATCATTCGTGCCTCATTTCCCGAAACCCTGCCAGTTACTGGTCATCGGTCACGCCTATCTTCACCCCATCAGAGCAAACCTAAAGCTGCCAAGGAGAAAATGTGAAATGGGAGGGAAAAGGGAGGCATGAAAAGCTGAGCCGAGATATGCATGTGTTTATTGTGCAAGAGTTCATAATCAAAGCGTTTTTCCTTCCCCTGCTTGCCGCAGCTGGTCTTTGCAGCCAAATTTCTTTGATAACATCAAACGGTGTATCAGCCCATTTGTACGCTTTATTCTGACAGTAAATTCCTCAACTTCTGATTTAAGAATGGTTTGAGGAAAAGGTGAATTCTTTTCTGCTTAACCTTGGGAGGGGGGAAGACGAGAACAAACAATGAACAATGCCAGGCAAGACGTGAAAATCATTTTATGTCATTTCTCCTGACAATCGTGTTTGACAGATGAGGACACTGAGGCTCCAAGAGAAAAGAATCCTTCAGGGCTTTGACAGGTGCCAGGCAGGGCTCAGGGAAGACCTGCAAAGCTCACTCCTGACCCCCCAGTGGAGAGATCACGGGCAGTCCCGGCTCGTTTACAACAGAGCTGAAATAGAGGAATGTAGGCGAGAAAGAAAAAATAATACTGCCTTTACAGACTCTGCCTTTCATAAAGGCTTCTTATGACTTTAGACACATGCACACACACAAACTCACATATATATACACACAAAACCACATGTACATATACACACTGGTAGGCACGCCTGTGTACATATATGTGCATACACTGACAGAGAGACACATGTGCACATATATACATGCATGTATATGCCTGACATACACTCACATATATACTCACATGCATGCACATAAGCGAGAATGCACGCGCACACATACACGCACGTATACACACTCGGACACACACTTGGACTTACGCATACACTTGCACACACACTGTCCCTTTTTTGCTAGCATCCCTTTCCTCCACCTTGCTGGTTGTTCTACTTTCTCCACAAATTCCTACACCCATTCTACTCTGTTGCTTTCTTTGTCAATTGCATCATCAAGACAGGTGGACCTTGTCACAGACAGGTGGAATGCTTACACAGAGAGACCAGGTGTCCCAGTTTGCCTAGAACAGACCAGTTTTATACCTGTCTTTTGGAATCCTTACTTAGAATGATTCCTTTTCTCTCTCAAAAATGTTCTCAACTGGATGACAGGATTTTTATATCTATTTGTATATAGACACACATACGTGTATGTGACTCCTCCCCCTGGGAGGGGAGGCGGATATTTACTTGGGCAAGAAGCTATGATAAAAACAGCAATGGTATGTATACGGACTCTACTCTGACACTTCTGTGTCACGCATCTTATTCCTCTATCTTAATAACTGTAAAATTTGGATTTCAGGATCTTGCTTCTGGCTCAGAAAATGACAGGAATGACTCGGCCTCACAGCCCAGCCACCAGTCAGATGCGGGGAAGCAGGGCCTTGGCCCCCCCAGCACCCCTCTAGCCGTGCACGCTGCTGTAAAGGTACAGACGCGCCAGCCTCCAAGCCCTGCCTGAGCACTCGGCTCACAGAGCCAACTCAGAGCAGAGCTTTCTGAGTTAGGTCTGACAACATGAGGAGACCCACACAGGGGACTCGTGCAGAGGTTCAGCTCACTGGGGCTGTCACAAAACAGGAGATGGGAGATGGGTCACTAGCATATATGGACCAAGATTTCATTATCCATGCAATGAAGCAGAGGTCACCTCTCACATGGAGAAGGCCGTACATATGTGTACACATGTGTGCACACCAGGGTGTATATGTACATGTGGTTTTGTGTGTGTATATATGTGAGCCTGTGGGTTTGCATTTCTTTGGGATCACAGCTCAGCCAGCATGTCCCTGACTTAAAAGATTTCATGGCCAGGCACAGTGGCTCAAGCCTGTAATCCCAGCACTATGGGAGGCTGAGGTGGGCGGATCACAAGGTCAAGAGATTGATACCATCCTGGCCAACATGGTGAAACCCTGTCTCTACTAAAAATACAAAAAAAAAAAAAAAAAAAAATAGCTGGTCGTGTGGTCCCAGCTACCTGGGAGACTGAAGCAGGAGAATTGCTTGAACCCAGGAGGCGGAGGTTGCAGTTAGCCGAGATCACGCCACTGCACTCCAGCCTGGCGCCTGGTGACAGAATGAGACTCTGTCTCAAATAAAAATAAATAAATAAATAAATAATTTCATAAGCTCACCCTTGAGGTAGACACAGCTGATTGTGAGACAGGATTTGCAAGTTTCATCAAATAGGTGTGTAGGGCAGTTGAATTTTATGTAAGGGAAGTAACCCTGAAGACCTTGCATCATGTAAATCTTACATCATTCAAGCCAGTCTTCCTGTGGAAATAAGCGTGGGGTTTCTTTCATAGTAGACAGATAGCTATAATCATTACAGCATATGCTTACTTGTCTCAGCATTATATCTTGTTGTTAATTTTTTATTTTTATTTCAATAGTTTGGGAGGTACTGGTGGTTTCTGGTTACATAGAAGTTCTTTTTTTGTTGTTGTTTGTTTTTTTGAGGAGTTTTACTCTGTTGCCCAGGCTGGAGTGCAGTGGCATGATCTTGGCTAACTGCATCCTCCATCTCCCAAGTTCAAGGGATTCTCCTGCCCTCAGCCTCCTGAGTAGCTGGGATTACAGGCAGGTGCTGCCATGCAGGGCTAACTTTTGTATTTTTGGTAGAGGTGGAATTTCACCATGTTGGCCAAAATGGTCTTCATCTCCTGACCTCGTGATTCGCCCACTTCAGCCTCCCAAAGTGCTGGGATTACAGGCGTGAGCCACCACGCCCGGACAGATAAGTTCTTTAGTGATGATTTCCGAGATTTTAGTGCACCCGTCACCTGAGCAGTGTACTCCATATGCAACATGTAATCTTTCATCCCTCACCCCACTCCCAATCTTCCCCCAACCCTCACATTCCATTATATCATTTTTATGCCTTTTCATCCTCCTGGCTTAGCTCTCATTTAGAAGTGAGAACACATGATATTTGGTTTTCCATTCCTGAGTTACTTCACTTAGAATAATGGTCTGCAGCTCCAACCCAGTTGCTGCAGAAGACCTTATTTTGTTTCTTTCTGTGGCTGAGTAGCATTCCATATTGTACATATACCACGTTTTCTTTATCCACTTGTTGGTTGATGGGCACTTAGATTGGTTCCATATCTTTGCACTTGAGAATTGTGTTTCTATAAACACCAGCATTGTATCTCACAATACATAGGCTGCTTGGGCCGGGCATGGTGGCTCACACCTGTAATCCAAGCACTTTGGAGGCCAAGGCGGACGGATCACCTGAGGTCGGGAGTTCAAGACCAGCCTGACCAACATGGTGAAACCCCGTCTTCAAAAAAAAAAAAAAATACATAGCCTGCCCTCTCATCAACTATGCGGTAATCATTTGGCCTTCTTCATAATGTCTTGGCCTTAACTTCTAACTGATTTGGGAACACGTTTTCTCAGCTCTAGTGTCACCACTTAATGAATGTTAAAATGACTCTTATGGGATTTAAAAAAAGATTATAAATTGAAGTAAAAATCAATGATATAGTAACAGTTTTATAGTCTAATGGAGGACAGACACTTCCGTTTATCTGTAAGTCTCCCCCACCAAACCACAAGAGCTTAAACCCAGCTGACAATTCACTCAACTCAACAGGTTTGAAATTACGTGACTATCAATGCATTTTGTTCATTGCAGGGGAAGGAGGAGGAGATGAAGCCCATTATTTCTAAAGCTGAGTATAAAAAGAAATGTCATTAATATTTCTATCACATTATTTAAATTGTGCGTAATTCAGATTAGCAGCGGGGCTCACCCCTGTACTCCCAGCACTTTGGGAGGTCAAGGCGGGAGGATTACCTGAGGCCAGGAGTTTGAGACCAGCCTGGCCAACATGGGGAAACCCCGTCTCTACCAAAAAATACAAAAATTAGCTGGCCATGGTGACACTCGCCTATAATCCCAGCTACTCCGGAGGCTGAGGCAGGAGAATCACTTGAATACGGGAGGCAAGGGTTGCAGTGATCCTAGATCATGATCACTGCACTTCAATCTGGGCAACAGTGTGAGACTCTGTCTCAAAAAGAAAAAAAAAATTAGCAAAGCCTCAACCTCACTGTACTAGGAAGTATGATAGAAGCCCAGGAGACGGACAGATCACTTTCAGTGAAAAGGGAAATCAATACAGACACCCAGCTGGTCCCAGCGGGCTGGTTATTTGTAGACGAGCCATCATCCCTTCTGCTTGGTCAACAAACACACACAACCTTAGTATCCCCTGGGCTCAAAAAGAGAATAGTAGTAGTAGTCTTTGCCCCACACTATCCAGAGAAAATGTTCTGATTTCAGTATCTTCCGGAATGTGCTAACGCAACATAGAGGAAAAAACTCCTGGACCCCTGACTTAGCTGCGGGACCCTGCCAGAGCTGCAGCTCCCATCTTACCCAGACAAGGCAAGCCTCAGAATGAGGCAACAACAGCGACTGATCTGGAGCAGGCCAGGGCAGAGCTGGTTTCAGGACAGAAGACAGATTAATTAATTAGAATGCTAATCGATTAGTAAGCAGGGACAAACCGAGTCACCAAACACACAGAAATACTTGTGCTCGTTATTCATTAGTCGCCAGGAAGAAGCCTCTTTGGAAAACAAAAGAGCCTTCCGGGGTGGGATGCGCTGAGTCCGAGCGAGTTGCAAGCTCCTTTGGATAAGGTCACATTCAGATGTGTAGTTTGTGGTTGAACTGGGGAAGCTGCCAAATCAGAATATGCCTGCCAGCTGTTCAGGAGCCCCCTCTTCTGGTCACCGGTGGTAACACACGTTCCTTCCAATGATCCCCCCAAATCCTTGATCACTTGCAGTCATTGCATCCAGATTCTTCATTTCAACCTTCTGTAATAAAGCCAGGGTTTGAAAATTCCGTTTTTTTCTTTGAGGCGGAGTCTTGCTCTGTCACCCACGCTGGAGTGCAGTGGTGAAATCTCAACTCACTGCAACTTCTGCCTCCCAGGCTCAAGCTGTTCTGCCTCAGCCTCCCAAGTAGCTGAGACTACAGGCACCTGCGACCACGCCCAGCTAATTTTTTGGATTTTTAGTAGAGACACGGTTTCACCACGTTGGCCAGGCTGGTCTCGAACTGACCTCAAGTAATCTGCCCACCTTGGCCTCCCAAACTGCTGGGATTACAAGCATGAGCCATTGCGCCCGGCCTGAAAATTCCTTTTTTAACCTGATAACAGGATGGACCCATTCCTTCCTAATATACAAAGGTCTTTTATTTCAGGAACAGGTTATAGACATACTTACCTTGTTTGTTGACTACCTGTTATTATTTCAATAGTATCTTTTGTAGCCTTTATATTGATTAGTGAGATAGAAAGTAAAGAATATTTTCTCCAACTTGCAGATGAGGAAACTGAGCTGTATTAAAGTTAAGTAATTGTACCCCTTTCAAAAATTTGTCTTGTCTTCTAAGACTATACCCTTAACTTACCTCAGTGTGTCCAAATCATGCAATACATGCTTTGGGTTCCAACTCTGGGAAGTGTTCCAGTAGGTGGATAACCCTTCCCATAATAAGTAAAGTATCCCTATTTCAAAAGGCGTTACTTCCTCATCTTTCATCGGTATTTGGCAGGCGAGAAGGTGTCAAGCAGGCGATAGGCAGGGTTTACCTTAACTTTCAGCCCAAATCAACAAATAACCACATTGTAGACTTTGAAAGAAAATCTTAGTTTCATCTAAGTTTGTGTCACTAATAAGTCAACTTACTAACTGTTAACTAAAGGTGACTGCACCTATGCATATAAAAGAACTTTTTTATTTTATTTTTTTGAGATGGAATTTTGCTCTTGTCACCTAGGCTGGAGTGCAATGGTGCGACCTCGGCTCACTGCAAACTCCACCTCCTGGGTTCAAGTGATTCTCCTGCCTCAGTTTCCCGAGTAGCTGGGATCACAGGCATCTGCCACCATGCCCAGCTAATTTTTGTATTTTTAATAGAGACAGGGTTTCACCATGTTGGCCAGGCTGGTCTCGAACTCCTGACCTCAGGTGATCCACCCACCGCAGCCTCCCAAAGTGTTGGGATTATAGGCGTGAGCCATCATGGGCCAGCCATGAAATAACTTTCTACAAATAGTCTCAAGGACAGAATGCCACCTTTGTGGGCCATCGGTTGGTTTTAGGTTAGAAGAATGCACTCATTGAGACACAGGATTACATTTTGCTGCGCTCCAGAAAGAAAAAATTCTGGAGCTACTTCTAAGATTCAACATTCCCCGTCTAAGGAGTGTCCTTCCCGTGTGATACATTTGCAGTGAATTTGTTTGTTAGCAACGTTAATGTCCTAGGAGCTCTTTGTACATCATGCCTTTACTATATCGTATTTCTGAGATTCAGGAATGACCATCAGACAAAACTGCCTCACAATCAACATGTCCGTGATGCAAATTCATTCTTAGCCATCGCCTAAAGTACACGCCATTTCCTCATTCTCTTTGCAGTCCAAATCCTTGGGTGACAGTAAGAACCGCCACAAAAAGCCCAAGGACCCCAAGCCAAAGGTGAAGAAGCTTAAATATCACCAGTACATTCCCCCAGACCAGAAGGCAGAGAAGTCCCCCCCACCTATGGACTCCGCCTATGCTCGGTTGCTCCAGCAACAGCAGCTGTTCCTGCAGCTCCAGATCCTCAGCCAGCAGCAGCAGCAGCAGCAGCAACACCAATTCAGCTACCCAGGGATGCACCAAGCTCAGCTCAAGTGAGTCGGGCAAGCCGGGGAGGGTGGCTGCGGGCAGAGGTTGGGAAGGGTGTCTACCTGAGGCATCTGGCACCTAGCAAGTCTTGTATTGCACCATTTCCTCATCCAATATGTTTGGAATGTGACTCAATTTACAAACTATGCACACCTTTTCAGAGCCATAACACTGGGAGGAAGCAAATTCAGAGCGCTCTTTATCTGCAGATGTATTCCAGACCCTCAGTGGACACCTAAAACCTCAGATAGCACTGAACTCCAAATAAACTGTATTTTTCCTAGGCATACATACCTATGGTAAGGTTTAATTTATGAAGTAGGCACAGGGAGAGATTAACAGTATAGTTAGCAATAATATAGAACAATTACAGCATTTACTGTAATAAAAGGTATCTGGATGTAGTGGTGTCTCTCTCAAAACATCTTATTTTACTGTACGCATCTATTTTTGAACTGCAGTTGACTTCGGGTAACTGAAATCTTGTAAAGTGAAACCGCCAATAAGTAAGGGACTACTATAAATCAATGCCCTTGATAAAAGACCCCTCTGGGAAAAAGGAAAGTATTAACACTTTCAAATTGGTCTGTGGAATGTCTAAGAATGTGATACTGGAATTATGAGCAATTCCGATGCACTTCTGCTTTTAGAAGTAACAGAGCTGAGAAACAGCCTCAGAGATTACCTCCTGAGCCCAGGTTGTGTGATCACATTGCTAGGTCAACTTTTTTTTTTTTTTTTTTTTTTTTGAGATGGAGATTCACTCTGTTGCCCAGGCTGAGTGCAGTGGCGCGATCTCGGCTCACTGCAACCTCCGCCTCCTGGGCTCAGGCGATTCTCCTGCCACAGCCTCCTGAGTAGCTGGGATTACAGGCACACACCACTGCGCCCAACTGATTTTTGTATTTTTAGTACAGACAGGGTTTCACCATGCTGTCCAGGCTGGTCTTGAACTCCTGACCTCAGGTGATCCACCCAACTCGGCCTCCCAAAGTGCTGGGATTACAGGCGTGAGCCACCACGCCTGGCCGCTAGATCATCTTTTAAATCGTCAATATCCCCACTTATACCATTAAGGTACGGATTCCTCCTGTGTCATTCTCAGACCATGCTAGCAATTATGCCGAGCACTGAACATAACCAAGCTTTACCAGATTGCTTGGCCTCCCCAGGACAGAGCATCAGCTGAGTCATACGTGGATGTGTCCTCTGTCATATGCCAAAGTCCCCCCTGCTACCTCTTCTCTCCCTAAAGTTCAGATGTCACACACCATTTGCCATCTAGCCAGCACAGTTTTTTCCCTCACCCTGTTGTCTCCTGCTGGTTTATTGCATGCCTGTGCCTTGTACGCAATCACTTTGTGATCTGATCTAAATGCAAGTTATCCCATCACTATCTGATGGTATTTGAAGTGCCTCTTTGTTTGTTTTTTAGAGAACCAAATGAACAGATGGTCAGAAATCCAAACTGTTCTTCAACACCACTGAGCAATACCCCCTTGTCCCCTGTCAAAAACAGTTTTTCTGGACAAACTGGTGTCTCTTCTTTCAAACCAGGCCCACTCCCGCCTAACCTGGATGATCTGAAGGTACAGGATTTGACATGATTTTCTTTCTTTTTTTAGAACAAATACAACAGTATATTGTTAACAGCACCACTGCAACTGATATCTGGAGTGTGAGGGGGAAGGGGAGGGAGACGATGGGAAACACTGAAGGAGGCGACCGAGTTTATCCTGCTCACCCCTGTAGTCCCAGCACTTTGGGAGGTCGAGGTCGGCAGATCATGAGGTCAAGAAATCGAGACCATCGTGGCACTCCAGCCTAGTGACAGAGCAAGACTCTGTCTCAAAAAAAAAAAAAAAAGAAAAGAAAAGAAAAGAAAGAAAGAGAGGGATGGGCAGGAGAGAACTTAGCTGTACTTGACCACTCACTGTGTGTATGGGGAGGGGCGTCACCTGAGTCCTGGGAGAGTGACCTCCATGACAGAAAGAGAGAGAATAGAATGAGGAGTTGATGTGGAGGGATGGTGGCAAGTTTATTCAGTTTGGGAAAGTCAAGTCACAGGTACCAGCAGGGTAACCATGAGAAAAGCTGTCAGTTTCCATCAGTAAGAATTAGCCAGGCTGTGTTGTCAGAGGTAGGAACAGAAATCTCAGAATAGTGTGCAATGTGTGGAGCATTGAAACTAGAAGGCAAACTGGTCAACATGGTGAAACGTCGTCTCTACTAAAAATACAAAAAAATCAGCTGGGCATGGTGGCGCGTGCCTGTAATCCCAGCTACTCAGGAGGCTGAGGCAGGAGAATTGCCTGAACCCAGGAGGTGGAGGTTGCAGTGAGCTGAGATCGCGCCATTGCACTCCAGCCTGGGTAACAAGAGTGAAACTCCGTCTCAAAAAAAAAAAAAAAAAAAAGGAACTAGAAGGGTGATTGGCATTGACAAAGAACGAAATGGAAAGAGTGAGAAGGAGGGAGAGAAGAGGAATGAAGGAAACATATGATGCAGCCACAATTGGGGAAAGGAAGAAAGAAGAATGGATGGATGAAGGTGACCCCCCAAATAGTAATCAGAAGGTAATATTATAAAGGTGACATTTGCAAGCAATTTTCACGTTTTGCCACATAAAAGGAAAAGAACACTGAGAGAAAAGACTTCAATTTCTTTTTTAAAAGTTAATGGTTATATCACATTATTTATTTCAATTATATCACATAATTATCCATTAAGTTAATGGATAATTTTTGCATCCTGTTTAAAAAAAAAAAAAACTGGCCAGGTGTGGTGGCTCACGCTTGTAATCTCAGCACTTTAGGAGGCTGAGGCAGGCAGATTACGAGGTCAAGAGATCGAGACCATCCTGGCCAACATGGTAAAACACCGTCTCTACTAAAAAAAAAAAAAAAAAAAATACAAAAATTAGCCAGGCATGGTGGTGTGCACCTGCAGTCCCAGCTACTTGGGAGGCTGAGGCAGGAGAATCACTTGAACCTGAGAGGCGGCGGTTGCAGTGAGCCGAGATCACGCTACTGTACTCCAGCCTGGGCAATAGAGCAAGACTCTGTTTCAGAAAAAAAAACAGAAGCTGGAGAGTGAGAGAGAGAGCATACCAAAGAGAGAAGGGCAGGGGGTGGACTGAAATGTTAAAAACTGGAAGGATAACTGATTGATAGTAAGCAATAATGATTTACATTTTACGATATGATAATGTTATTGTATCTATGGTTTTTTAAGAGTACTTATCTTTTAGTGATGGTGACCAAATTATTTGGATGAAATTACATGATTTGATCCAAAATACTTCAGGAAAGGTAGGAGAAGTGGGTTGGAGTACAAAAGAAACAAGATTGGGCATGCGTGATAATGGTGAAGTTTGCTGTTGAGTTTATAGGTTTCATTAGACTTTTCTATCTACTTTTCTGTATGTTTGAATTTTTCCATAATAAATAGTTTAAAAAGTTATCAATGATTAAAACACCAGTGAATGTAGGAAAGAAGTGTATACAAACCTCTGTCCTGAACAAGCCCATAAAGTGTAATATTCTGAAATTTAAGATAAATTAAACTCAACCATATTCATTTTATTTTAGAATATGAGCTGCATTATTTAATAATGTAGTTAAATTATTCAGTGCTGAGACAGTCTAAAAATAAATGTAGAACTCATCAATTTTAAGTAATTCAAAATTAAAACGGTAATGAGTTGCCATTTTGTACTTTTTCGAACCAGCAAATCTAAAAGAAAATGATAAAACAATTCCAGCAAGACTGTAGGGTAAATAACTAAAGAATTGCTAATGTAAGTTTCAATCCTTTCTGATAACTTTTAGCTGATTATAAAGTAACATATATTGACTGTTGATATATGATAATGTGTAGAAAAGTAAACAGCATTTTGAAAGATAATTAAGATTCACAGAAAGCAGATTATATTTCCTTGTAGATTTAAAATGCATATAAACATTTTGTTTTTAAATAATTGTTTTGAAAAATTACGTTTACATAAATTACTGTAATCCTTCATTTCTTTTTTTTTTTTTTTTTTTTTTTTTGAGACGGAGTTTCGCTCTTGTTACCCAGGCTGGAGTGCAATGGCGCAATCTCGGCTCACCGCAACCTCCGTCTCCTGGGTTCAGGCAATTCTCCTGCCTCAGCCTCCTGAGTAGCTGGGATTACAGGCATGCGCCACCATGCCCAGCTAATTTTTTGTATTCTTAGTAGAGACGGGGTTTCACCATGTTGACCAGGATGGTCTCGATCTCTTGACCTTGTGATCCACCCACCTCGGCCTCCCAAAGTGCTGGGATTACAGGCTTGAGCCACCGCGCCCTGCCAATCCTTCATTTCTTAACACATCCTGAACATTTTTCGTAACTGTTAATACTCAATGCATTTTTATTTCTTCACCACCTAGTTAACATTCCACTGCCGTATATTTAACTAGCTGCCAGAGTTTTGCTATTCAAAGTATGATTGCAGGCCGGGTGTGGTGGCTCACACCTGTAATCCTAGCACTTTGGGAGGCTGAGGTGGGTAGATCACTTGAGGTCAGGAGTTCAAAACCATCATGGCCAACATGGTGAAACCCCATCTCTACTAAAAATGCAAGAAATTAGTGGAGCATGGTGGTATACACCTGTAATCCCAGCTACTAGCAAGGCTGAGGCAGGGGAATTGCTTGAACCTGGGTGGTGGAGGTTGCAGTGAGCCAAGATCACACCACTGCACCCCAGCCTGGGCGACAGAGCAAAACTCTGTCTCAAAAAAAACAAACAAACAAACAAACAAAATATATATATATATATGATTTCAGTGACCTTTGTGCATACAATTATTAGTTTCTCTGATTATTTCCTCGGACTATGTAAAAATGAAATTCCCGAATTAAATATATTAATATTGTTTAAATTTTTGATACATATTCTAAAATTTGTGTCCTGAACATTTATGCCAGTCTGTTCCCAGAAGCAGCATGTGAAAGCAACACTTCTCAAACATTAACGTGTGAGCTGAATCACCTGGGCTCTTGTTAGCCTGCAGATTCTGATTCACGTCTGGGGAGGGGCCTGAGATTCTGCCTTTCCAACTAGATTCCAGGTGATGCTGATGCTGCTGGTCTAAGAACCATACTTTGAATAGCAAGGTAATAAAGAGCTTTTCAAAAACGTTTTAATTTTGGGCTGGGCGCAGTGGCTCACACCTGTAATCCAACACTTTGAGAGGTCAAGGCGGGTGGTTCACCTAAGGTTACGAGTTCCAGACCAGCCTGGCCAACATGGTGAAACCCCATTTCTACTAAAAATACAAAAATTAGCCCAGCGTGGTGGTGCACGCCTGTAATCCTAGCTACTCGGGAGGCTGAAGCGGGAGAATTGCTTGAACCCGGGAGGCGGAGGTTGCAGTGAGCCAAGATGGTGTCACTGCACTCCAGTCTGGACAACAGAGCAAGACTCTGCCTCAAAAAAAATTAATTTTGTTTGATTTTTGATGCTCCCTAACACAAAGTCTTCTTATTCATTTGTCAATTTAATAAATACAAATATATTTGTATTCATTTATACATATATGTATTCATTTGATTTGCATTGCTTGGATTGCTAATGATGATATACATACATTACTGTCCATATTTAAAATTTTGTTTTTGTTTCTGAAAAGCTGGGTAATATATCCCTTGCCCATATTTATACTGGGTATCAATCTTCCTTTTAATTGATTAACACACTTGATACATTGAGCTTTTTAATACTTTATTATTTGTGCTGCAATTAGTTTTTCCAAAGATAGCTATGTGTATTTGCATTTTCTTTGTAGTTTCTTGACTTACAGAAGTTTTAAATTTTGTTTTCAATACTTTTCTTAAACAATCTTTTTTACAGAGTATCAGAATATTTCCCTATATCCTGTTTTATGAGATTATTGAAATTTAAGTATTTAATATATTGTTTTCATTACAAAAGTAACATATTTATGTAAAATATTTAGAACATACAGATGAGGAGAACGATTTTTAACCTTTTAGCATATTTTTATCTAGATATTTTCATATGCAAACATAGGTTTAAATATACATGTATATATGCACACATGGTTTAAATGGTTTTTAGAAAAATAGAATCAATTCAAACTTTGTTCACTTATTACTATACCACAAGCAATTAATCATCCAGTGTCAGCAGATATTTATAGCATCAGCTTTAATGGATCTGTAGAATCCCATCATTTGCATACACTATCATTTACCTAACCAGTTCTTGTATTTGTAGATATTTAGTTTCCAGTTTATGAACATTATAAAAAAATACAGGGATAAGATAATTACATGTGAATCAACATAATAATATGAGTAAACCTTTATATTATACAACTATTTGCCAGGCACTATTCCAAGTGCTTTATACATTTTAAGCCATTTTAGCCCTCACAAAAAGGCATAAAGTAGGTATTATTGCCCCTATTTCCCAGAAGGGATACTGAGGCACGGAGTGATTGATCACTGAGTTAGTAACAGGCAGGGCCAGGATTTGAACTGATAATTTTATCACCACATATTCTCTCAGTATATGACAATTACCCAGATGGTCATTAAAATTAGGACATAAATATTCATATGGAGCCCTGGTTCTTCATAAATATTCATATGGCACCCCCTGGGGACTTGTTAAAAATGCTAATCAACTGAATCAGAAACCCCACAGTGGGGCCCTGTGTCTGCATTGACACACCCTCCAGTGGTCCAGGCATGCTCAGGTCTGAGGAAGAGAATGTGGTAGGAAGAGCCCTCACCAAGGAAGCCTGAAAATCTTCAGACTTTGCTGTACCGTAAGCAGATCACGAGGTCAGGAGATTGAGACCATCCTGGCCAATATGGTGAAATCCTGTCTCTACTAAAATACAAAAAATTAGCTGGGCGTGGTGGTGGGCTCCTGTAGTCCCAGCTGCTCGGGATGCTGAGGCAGGGGGATTAATTGCTTGAACCTGTGAGGCAGAGATTGCAGTGAGCCGAGATCACGCCACTGTACTACAGCCTGGTGAAGAGCAAGACTCCATCTCAAAAAAAAAAAAAAAAAGACTACTTTGGGGGGCTTGTGTCTAAACCCAGGCAGATATGTCTTCTCATCTATAAAATGGGGACACAGGTCACCATGAGGGATGACAGGCAGTAGATTAGCTGACTTCTACCATTCCTTCAAACTACATTTCCATGACTCTAAGGCCATGCAAATATCATACAGGATAAAGTTAAAAATAATTGTTAAAATTGTGCAAAACTGATTTATATCAAGGGTAGGAGAGGAAATTGTAAAGAAGTATGAAAGAGGGGGATATTGTAAAATTCCATTTGTGATGTTTTGAAACTAGTGGGGTTTGTTTTGGTTTGAGTTTTTTTTTTTTTGTTTTTTTTTTTTTTTTTTTTTTTTTTTGAGATGGCATCTCTCTGTGTCTCCCAGGCTGGAGGGCAATGGCAGGATCGGCTCACTGCAGTCTCCGCCTCCTGGTTCAAGCGATTCTCCTGCCTCAGCCTCACAAGTAGCTGGAATGACAGGTGCCCACAACCACGCCCAGCTAATTTTTGTGTGTTTAGTAGAGACAGGGTTTCGCCATGTTGGTCAGGCTGGTCATGAACTTCTGACCTGTGACCCGCCCTCCTCAGCCTCCCAAAGTGCTGGGGTTACAGGCGTGAGACACCACCCCTGGCCGAAGCTAATTTTATAATAAATACACTTTTAAAAATACTGTCGTTAAACAGCACACTCACCACATTCTGATTTCTTTAGGTCTCTGAATTAAGACAACAGCTTCGAATTCGAGGCCTGCCTGTGTCAGGCACCAAAACGGCCCTCATGGACCGGCTTCGACCCTTCCAGGACTGCTCTGGCAACCCCGTGCCGAACTTTGGGGATATCACGACTGTCACTTTTCCTGTCACACCCAACACGCTGCCCAATTACCAGTCTTCCTCCACTGGTGCCTTATCCAACGGCTTCTACCACTTTGGCAGCACCAGCTCCAGTCCCCCGATCTCCCCAGCCTCCTCTGACCTGTCGGTCGCTGGGTCCCTGCCAGACACCTTCAATGATGCCTCCCCCTCCTTTGGCCTGCACCCGTCCCCAGTCCATGTGTGCACGGAGGAAAGTCTCATGAGCAGCCTGAACGGGGGCTCTGTTCCTTCCGAGCTGGATGGGCTGGACTCTGAGAAGGACAAGATGCTGGTGGAGAAGCAGAAAGTAATCAATGAGCTCACCTGGAAACTCCAGCAAGAGCAGAGGCAGGTGGAGGAGCTGAGGATGCAGCTTCAGAAGCAGAAAAGGAATAATTGTGCAGAGAAGAAGCCGCTGCCTTTCTTGGCTGCCTCCATCAAGCAGGAAGAGACCATCTCCAGCTGTCCTTTTGCATCCCAAGTACCTGTGAAAAGACAAAGCAGCAGCTCAGAGTGTCACCCGCCGGCTTGTGAAGCTGTTCAACTCCAGCCCCTTGGAAATGCTCATTGTGTGGAGTCCTCAGGTCAAACCAATGTACTGTCTTCCACATTTCTCAGCCCGCAGTGCTCCCCTCAGCATTCGCCGCTTGGGGCTGTGAAAAGCCCACAGCACATCAGTTTGCCCCCATCACCCAACAACCCTCACTTTCTGCCCTCATCTTCTGGGACCCAGGGAGAAGGGCACAGGGTATCCTCGCCCATCAGCAGCCAGGTGTGCACTGCACAGGTAAGAACACCTTGCACCATGCCTGGTGCATGCCTCTTTCTGGAAGTGGGATACAAATTTTCAACTGCTAAAGAGCTAATGTCAGAAACTTTATTTTTTATTTTATTATTATTATTTGAGAAGGAGTCTTGCTCTGTCGTCCAGGCTGCAGTGCAGTGGCACCATCTCGGCTCACTGCAATTTCCAACTCCTGGGTTCAAGTGATTCCCCTGCCTCAGCCTCCCAAGTAGCTGGGACTACAGGCACATGCCATCATGCCCAGCTAGTTTTTTAGTACAGACAGGGTTTCACCATGTTGGCCAGAATGGTCTCGATCTCCTGACCTCGTGATCCACCCTCCTCAGCCTCTCAAAGTGCTGGGATTACAGGTGTGAGCCACCGCACCCAGCCTAATGTCAGAACTTTCAATGTGAAGGTTTTACCAAAAGCCTAGCAATATCTCCCAGAGACTACAATCCTCGAGTCTTCATGGTAGACCAAACTCACTTATCCTCTAAGTCAGGGGCTGGCAAACTTGCTCTGTAAAGGACCAGATGATAAATATGTTTTTGCTTTGCAGGTTACACTGTCTGTGTCATACCTACTCAATTTTGCCTTTGTTATCACAAACACAGCCATAGACATTGTGTAAACAAATGCACATGGCTATGTTCCAATAAAACTTTATTTAAAAAATAGGCAGTGAGCAAGACTTGGCTTGTGGGCTGCAGCTTTCTGACCACTGCTCTCAGGATGCTCTGGGGTCAAACTTTATCATAGGTCAAACCAATGCCTCAAAGGTTTAAAGGGAAAGTCATCAGACCTTACTTTCATGCAATAGTCTGCATAGCAAAAACATTTAGTGAGTACCTACTGTGTGCCAGGTCCTGTTCTCATCTCTGGGAATTAGTGCTGAACTAGCCAAAGAAAAATGTCTATTCTTGTGGGAACAGAGACAGTTTAAAAGTAAATTAAACAATTTCAAAGTAAATTACATACTATATTTGGTGATACATCTTATGGAGAAAAAACAAAGGGGTGTGTGTGTGTGTGTGTGTGTGTGTGTGTGTGTGTGTGTGTAGTTTGGAAGTTTGCAACTCTAAATAGAAGGGCCAGGGAATTTTAGCAAAACCTTGAAAGCAGTAAAAAAAGAAAAATTGTGGATATTTGAGGTGAAGGCATTGAAGACAAAGGAGAAATAGCACATGCAAAGACCCTGTGGTTGGAACTTATAGAGACTGTTCAAGGACCAGTGGCTGGAGCAGAATGGGAACAGTCATAGGAGATGGCTTAGAAGACTCACTGATTCAAAGACTAGGCAAAGGTGATTGACAAAGACTTTGCTTATGCTCGTGAGCTAAGTAATCGCTAGGAAATTCCATGTAACATAACCTTTCTCAAGTTGAGAAACTATCTTTCGAGTTGAGAAAGGTTACGTTATCAAAAGCTTCTGCAATCAACATTATTAGAAAGGGAATAGGAAGAAAACTCACATTAATTGAATATGAATACCTTCTAAGGGCCAAGCATTAAGAGGCATGTCTATGAGTAGCCTCAGTTACTGTCACAAGGAACCTGTGAGCTCCAGTGTATTATTCTTTATTTGCCATTGAGGAAAATGAGGCTCAGAGAGCTTAAATCAGTTACCCAGGATCACATGAACCCGAAATTCGTTAATTGTAAGTACACATCCTATTCTTGTGGAATATCTCCACCCCAAGAGTGTGAAGTATGGCAAAAGGTAATGAGAATTAATTTTTACACACCTATAGGAACACCACATTCCAATGAATGATGCCTGCCCCTGAGGGGCACTCTGGGAGAAATTAGGACTTAAATAAATTATTGTCATAATTAACAAATGTTTATTGCATGTAAAGTATTCAGGGAAACAAAGGTAAAAATAGCTCTTGAGACAAACTTCTGGACCAAAACTTTCAGTACTGATGATATTGCTGCTAACATTGTACAGTGGTTTATGGCTCACAAAGACTCTTTGAAGACATTACAATATCATGATAAAATGATAAAGAACAGGCTGGGTGCGGTGGCTCACACCTGTAATCCCAGCACTTTGGGAGGCCAAGGCAGGCAGATCACAGATCAGGAGTTCAAGGCCAGCCTGGCCAACATAGTGAAACCCTGTCTCTACTAAAAATACAAAAATTCACCAAGCATGGTGATGTGCACCTGTAATCTCAGTTACTCTGGAGGCTGAGGCAGGAGAATAGCTTGAACCCCAGAGGCGGAGGTTGCAGTGAGCCAAGATCACACCTTTGCACTCCAGCCTGGGTGACACAGCAAGACTCTGTCTCAAAAAAAAAAAAAAAAAAAAAAAGATAAAGAACAAAATAGGTTAATGTACCTGATCTATGCTTAAAACATTAAATACTGATAAGAGGGAGGGATGGATTGATTATAAAGGGCTAGACAGGTCCAGGAAGGTTTTGTGAAGGGGTTGGACTTGGCAGGAAGTATCATGTTTAAAAGTAGAGGGCCAGGAAAGGGACAAGGCAGGGAGATGGAATGTACAGGGCATGCTGATGGAGGGAATGGGAATCGTAGTGGGAATCGTAGAACTTAAGCTTGCAGAAGTAAACAGCACCAAACTGTAGAGTCTTGAACACCCATCCAGGTTGAAAGTGGAAATCCCATGCTGGGGATACCTGAAGCCACTGGAAGTTTTTGAGTGGTAGGTGATGTCTTAAAAGCCAGATTTTAGGCAAGTTCATCTGGTAATGGAATTTAGGTAAGTTTATAAAGATGACACCAGGGGACACAGGGCAGGAACCAGAATTGTCAGCCAAGGTCACACTCAAGCAAGCTGGTGCTGGCCATGTAATTTGTCACTTCTTCCTTTACAGAACTCAGGAGCACACGATGGCCATCCTCCAGGCTTTTCTCCCCATTCTTCCAGCCTCCACCCACCCTTCTCTGGAGCCCAAGCAGACAGCAGTCATGGTGCTGGGGGCAGCACTTGTCCCGAAAGCCCATGTGTACAGCAAAAGGTAAGCACCTTGAAAAAGGATTCAACCTGGGATTCACTTTGCCTCTTCCCTCTTCTACAATCCCTGTCCTCCAAAGCGAACAATAATGCAGTTCCCTTTCTCTCTCTCTCTTTTTTTTTTTTTTTTTTTTTTTTTTTTAGACAGATTCTTACTGTGTCACTCAGGCTAGAGTACAGTGGCACGATCTTGGCTCACTGCAACCTCCATCTCCTGAGTTCAAGCAATTATCTGACTCAACTGCCTGATTAGCTAGGGTTAGACACCCACCACCACGCCCTGCTACTTTTTTTTTATTTTTAGTAAAGGTAGGGTTTTACCATCTTGGCCAGGCTGGTCTTGAACTCTTGACCTCATGATCCACTCAGCTCGGCCTCCCAAAGTGCTGGGATAACAGGCATGAGCCACTGTGCCCAGCCATGAAGTTCCCTTTAAAGGCAGGAGGAAATTTCATTTTAGAGAGAAACAAATCCACCCAAAATGCATGCAAAAGGATGTACAAATATGAATTAGGAGGTATCCCAGGGATTCACTTCCTGAGTCATCCCAGAAATCATGATGACTAAAATGGCCATAATATGTTTGCAAAACAATGTGAACAATAAACCAGTTTCTGTGAAGTTTAAGATTGGAATCAGAGTGTGTGGGAAAACAATGGCGGAGGAGGAGAGAGGTACAGAGATGCATGGACAGGACTGGAGAGGTGTAGAAAACAATGGCCACACTGCGATATCTTTCTGGGAAAGGAAGAGACGTCACCCAGTCAGCGGGTGGAAGAAGTCAGTGTATAAATGATCCAGGCTATGGAGAGTTTCAAGGAGGAAAGAAGAGGTGGCAGAAAGAAGACAAACAAGATAAGCATGACATAAAAGTGCCACATATGACAAGTCAGGGAAGGGGCAGAGACCCTGAAGTGGGCCAGGCACACACTCACAATAAACAAAGCCGGCTCATAAAGAAACCTCAACAACTCAGCAATGGCTCCGACTGGCTGCAAAATACCCAGTTTGGAATAAATGACCTGAGGGATAGATTACTCTGGAAATTCCTAGGTTGATGATTTTTTTTTCTTTCTTTTTTTTTTTTTTTTTTTTTGCAACACAGTCTCGCTGTCACCCAGGCTGAAGTGCAGTGTCGTGATCTTGGCTCACTGCAACCTCCACCTCCCAGGTGCAAGTGATTCTCCCACCTCAGCCTCCAGAGTAGCTGGGATTACAAGCGCACACCACCACACCTGGTTAATTTTTGTATTTTAATAGAGATGGGGTTTCACCATGTTGGACAGGCCGGTCTCGAAGTCCTGACCTCCAGTGATCTGCCCACCTTGGCCTCCCAAAGTGCTAGGATTACAGGCATGAGCCACCTTGCCTGACCTCATTTATTTTGCGTTGAATTTGACTCTTACTTATTTTTCCCTAAAAGAAAAGGGTGCATTTTAAGGGGAAAAATAATTCTGCAAGGTTCCCATTCTGAGATGCTACCAGCAATAAACCCACGGTGGAATTCGCTATTGTTATGGGAGTTATTTTCTAAGCCCGGGACCCTTTTTGTTCTCTTAGATTAATTTTTCCAAAATTTCACCTGTTGTTTTCTAGAACAGTAGCAATATCATTTCAGATCCATGAATTCAATGCCTTTCTCTGTATTTTACCCATGCAGATGGCTGGTTTACACTCTTCTGATAAGGTGGGGCCAAAGTTTTCAATTCCATCCCCAACTTTTTCTAAGTCAAGTTCAGCAATTTCAGAGGTAACACAGCCTCCATCCTATGAGGATGCCGTAAAGCAGGTAACCATGTGATTTGTTCTTTATGGAAGAATAGACTGACTCAATGAACAGACATTGTTTTAGATGATTAAATGCAGTTTGTAAATTCTGATACTGAGTGGGTTGTGTGTCTTGCCACCAAAATAAGCATATTACCTTGACAATAATTGGAAAACAGTGTTGCATGTATAGCTGTGTGAGGCAAGGAGAGAAGAGGGTCACCTGCCTGGCTTTGGTACCAGCCCTGCTATCTGCCAGCCGCCACACTGTCAATAAGGTGAATGCTTCACCTCTCTTACACAAAATAGGGATAATATTTACTTGGTAAGGATTCTAGATAACCTAGCACATACTACATTGTTCAGGCACATAAAAGGTTCTCAAGTATATGAGAGTGATTGTCAGGGTAATACTTCCTGAGGTAGTATTTTAAATACTAAATTTAAATTTTAAACACACACGGCTTTAAAATTCAATGACCCTGGCAAAAGATTGATTGGGTGTTGATTGAAGCTGGGTAATAAATGCAAGGAGGTTCATTGTATCTTCTACTTTCATTCGGAAGTCTCAAAATTAAAAAGTAAGAAAAAGAAAAAACAAGGCCAGGTGTGGTGGCTCACAGCTGTAACCCCAGCACTTTGGAAGGCTGAGGCAGCTGGATCACCTGAGGTCAGGAGTTTGAGACCAGCCTGGCCAACATGGTGAGACCCCGTCTCTACTAAAAATACAAAAATTAGGTGGATGTGGCAGTGAATGCCTGTAATCCCAACTACTTGGGAGACTGAGGCAGGAGAATTGCTTAAACCTGGGAGGCAGAGGTTACAGTGAGCCAAGATTGTGCCACTGTACTCCAACCTGGGTGACAAGAGAAAAACTCCGTCTCAAAAAAAAAGAAAGAAAAAGAAAAAGAAAAAACAGTAAACGATCCTGTATTTCAAACAGTCTGAATTTGGATAAGGTATTCGATAGCTTTTATATGTCCTCAACCCAAAACAGAACATCTACATCAGTTGCTGCATACGGGTACCCCACAGATCAAAGTCAGCCAGAAGTTAAGTTCTATTTGGCTTAAAGAACGTTTTAAATAACAAGAGATGGTATGCAACGTGGGCTTTCTCATTTCTGAAAAATTAGAGGATCTGGCAACCCAGGAGCCACAGTGCTGCGAGTCGACAATTGCCTAAAGCAAGATCCTGCTGCTACTTTGAGCCACAGCTATGCTCTGCTCTCAGCCTCTTTTTCTTATTCTGTATTCAGTTCATTCCATTACCTGCCAGTCCCTCAGGCATCTGGTACCTTCTGAAGTGATAAATGACTCATTTTTTTATCAGAACCATCCACATTGATTTTTGATGCCTGTGTTTATTGAGTCTGGGTTGTCAGAGGAGTGAGATGGATAGATGCCTTTGTTCTCCCCATTCCACTCCCCTGGTTTCTGTAAACATCAGCTGATCCTTCACAGTTTCAAAAGAAAAGAAAACGGCCAGGCAAAGTGGACATCCAGAAATAAGACTCTACTGAGATAAGCCAGAGAGGACAAGGCATATCCTACAAGTGTCTACAGGTTCCTCAAGCTATTGCAATGAGGAACCAACAATACGGGCCAAGTTCTTGGGCCACGTTGCAGCAACCAAGTGAGAGGTAGATTTAGGTCACTTCAAAGTAATAGCCTAAAAAGGTATTTTGTTTTCCTTTCTTTTTTCTTTTTTTTTTTTTTGAGACAGAGTCTCACTCTGTTGCCCAGACTGGAGTGCAATGGCGTGGTCTCGGCTCACTGCAACCCCCGCCTCCTGGGTTCAAGCGATTCTCCTGTCTCAGCACCCCTGGTAGCTAGGTTTACTGGCACACACCACCATACCCGGCTAATTTTTGTATTTTTAGTAGAGACAGGGTTTCACTATGTCAGCCAGGCTGGGCTCGAACTCCTGACCTCGTGATCCACTTGCCTCAGCCTACCAAAGTGCTGGGATTACAGGTGTGAGCCATCACAGATAGCCAAAAAGGTATTTTCTATATATTATGATGTCCTGCTCCTGGGATGAAAACTGTTATGTGTAAATATTTGGTGCTGCACTGGAATATAAATTTCCTCAGCAAGGCAATTTACTTCTATAGAAGGGTGCGGCTCACAGATGGAACAATGGCGAAGGCACAGCTGGACAAGGGAAGTGAAGCGGTTCTTATTCCTGACGGAGGTTGCCCCTACTGCTATGTCATTACCCTATTGGCTAGGGTTAGACTGCACAGTCTAAGCTAATTCCAACTGGCTATTTTAAAGAGAGCAGGGGTATGAACTGGAGTGGCGGAGTGGGTCATTTGGCGGGAAGGACAGCTACAGGCAGGTCAGAGCAGGTAACCAGGGGTCAGAGCAGGTGACTGGAGCAGGTGACCCGGATGAGTCAGGATGGAACAGGGGAACAGATGTGAACTACTGAGTAGAACTGGTGGAAAGGTTTTTACTGAAACTACAAGGAAGTTAAACTTTGAAATGGAGAATTAAAGAATAAGAGAGCTGAGCATACTGACATACTGATTCTTTGAAGAGAAACTTGGAGTTCACTGTATCTAACAAAACCTCTCAAGCAACTGAACTATCTCTAAAGTACTCTGTGCTGGGAAGCATTCTGCCTTCTTTCTCCCTTCTCCTGTTGTAGTAGATTGTTTAATTCAGTAGTTTATATGCCTAAAATTAATACTGAAGCTTAATCAAACAGGGTTAAAAAAACCTTTAGGCAATAGACCCATGTTCATAGCAGTGTTATTCACTGTACCCCGAAGGTGCAAACAGCCTAGATGCCCATTAACAGATGAACGGATAAACAGCATGTGTTATATCTATACAATGGAATTTTATTCAGTCTTTAAAAAAAAGAAATTCTGACACGTAGCACAACACAGATCAACCTTGAGGACATTATGCTTAGTGAAATAAGCTAGTCACAAAAGAACAAATACTGTCTGGTTCACTTATATGAGGGACCTAGATAGAATAGACAAATTCGTAGAGACAGGAAGGAAAATCGTGGCTTCCGGGGCTAAAGGATGGGGCGTGGGAAGTTAGGGTTTAATGCACACACAGTTTTAGTCTTGCAGGATGAAAAGAATTCTGAAGATAGATGGTAGGGATGGTCACACAACAATGTGAATGGACTTCATGCCGCTTAACTGTACACCTAAAAACGGTTGATAGTAAATTTAAAGTTATGTGATTTTACCCCAATTAGAAAAAAAAAAAAAAAAAAAACTTAACCAAACCTAGTTCAACAACCTGCAGAGATAACCACCTTCTAACCTGTCTGTCCTCCTTTGGTTAATCTGCAATAGCAAATGACTCGGAGTCAGCAGATGGATGAACTCCTGGATGTCCTTATTGAAAGCGGAGGTAAGACTGCCTGTGGCCTGTCCATTAGGACATTCTGAGCTTGTGTGGATTCTAAGGAATGAACTCTTGGTAGCAAGATCAGAAGTACACTGAGTTGGATGTACTAGGTAGTCCTCAGGGAGAGTCTTTTTTTTTTTTTTTTGGAGATTCCTGAGCATTATTAGAGCTGATAAAAGAAGGCATGGTGGATGATTCTTCACTGCCTTTGTCCTGGGAGCATTTTTCAGCAATCATTTTAATAGTCTTCATGTTTCAGCCTAACCCTTGTTTCCTTAAATATTTTCTCTTGCAGCACTATTTTTTTTCTATGTTCTAATCCCAATGTCCCTGCCTTCTCAATTATAAGAAAAGGAAAAAGCAGATAATGAAAGTTTTGTGCTACCTACTCAAAATGCAATTCAATCAGTAACCTTCCACTGGATGGTTCATTCATGCTTAAATGTTATTCATGCTAGCAATAAAACATAATCAACACGTTCTTTTTGTTGCCTTTTAATTTTTTTCATTTATTTACTTAAAAAAAATTACGGAGTGTGTGCCTAGGATTTGAAACCACACACATGAATAAGATGACCCAAGGAGGATGTGTAGATAAAAAGAAAAGAACTCAGGGCAGAATCCTTAAGCAAAAAAATTTAAAGTTTCAGAGAAGGAGGTAGCAAAGGACTTGGAGAAGAGGTAGCCAGGTATCACGTTGGTCTCTGGGATACATCAGACAAAGTCCTGATTTTTATGGAGTTTACGGTCTGGTAAGGGAGACAGACAAGAAGCAAGTGAATGGAGCTTCCTCCACTGTAACAGGAGGGAAGAAGAAAGAGATGGGCACAGACATATGTATGTATATGAGTTCTGTGACGGAAAGATGAGAGAGCTCATATCGGATGCCCTCATGCATTTCTAATGAAATATGTGGCAAGGTCAGCAACACATGAGGATGCGGAAGGGGAGTGTGGAAGATTCAGGGGAAGAAGAGCAGTTATGACTTCATCCTGGATGAATTGAGTTTTCTGGAGAAACACAGCAGGGTGGTTTTGTAGTCTTAAATGCCAATTGTAGGTCTGACATCAGGAATCTAAAGCGAAACCCAGTCAGCTTAGTTCAATTTTTCTCTTGCAACGTTCTGGTGATCCAGAGCATGCTTAGAGAAGGCGAATGATCAGGTTCATCCAGGTGTGGGGTTCTGCCAAAAATATAGTCTGGACAAGGAAAGAGGTGAAGACCAGAGGGGCTGGTGGACAGTGATAATGTAGCAATCTATGGATTGGCATGACTGTGAATGGTTAGGAAATTATTGTTATGGGGTGCTTGGTAAGTGGCCTGGAGGGATGGGAGAGGATATTGCTTGAAAAGAGAGAGTAGAAAATACAGCTTGAAAGTCAGCTTTCCGCGGGATGCAGTATTTGGAGATGACACGATCCAAGGTGTGTCTTATGGGGTGGGAATGGGGGAATTGCTGGAGTTGAGGAGGAAGTCAAGAGCTGAGAGGCCAGTGTGAACACTGTGATTTCCGAGGATGCTCAGGTTACAGAATGAGAAGGGTTGAAGTGGGGAAAAGGCAGTGGACTAGGAAGTAGAGTTTTCAGTGGATGAGGAGGAATGACCAGGAGGCTAGAGGTGAGGTGTTGGTGTCACCCTCAAACCCCAAAACTGCTGAGTTGTCGTCAGACGGAGGGGGAGTAGCAAATCAGAAAGTGGCAACTGCATAGCACCTGATCCCTCATCTTCAGGCCCTTGCTGAGGATGTCAGGATGGACTCAGTGTTCTCAAGGGACTACCAGGGGTTAAAGAAGGAGTAAGTACAGGAACCTTCAAAGAAGAGGTTAATAGTCACAGAGTGGAATTCCCAGGAGGAAAGGGTTTGGGGAAAGACTGGAGGGAAGATGAATTGGAGGATGACAGAGCAGCTTAGAGATGAGACTGGGTGGTGAGGGGGATCAGGGAAGTGTGGCGTCTTCTGTATCTAAGTGTAACTTACTCACATTGCATGGCATGCTCGATTTGAAGTGATTTTAACAAGTCACATCCTGTTTTACCCACAGAAATGCCAGCAGATGCTAGAGAGGATCATTCATGTCTTCAAAAAGTCCCAAAGATACCCAGATCTTCCCGAAGCCCAAGTGCTATCCTTCCCAAGCCCTCAGCTTCCTTTGAACAAACCTCTTCAGGCAGCCAGATCCCCTATGATCCCTATGCCACCGACAGTGATGAGCATCTTGAAGTCTTGTTAAATTCCCAGAGCCCCCTAGGAAAGGTGAGTGATGTTACCCTTCTAAAAATTGGGAGCGAAGAGCCTCATTTTGACGGGATAATGGATGGATTCCCCGGGAAGGCTGCAGAAGATCTCTTCAATGCGCATGAGATCTTGCCAGGACCCCTCTCCCCGATGCAGACACAGTTTTCACCCTCTTCTGTGGACAGCAATGGGCTGCAGTTAAGCTTCACTGAATCTCCTTGGGAAACCATGGAGTGGCTGGACCTCACTCCGCCAAGTTCCACACCTGGCTTTGGCTCCCTCGCCACCAGCAGCCCCAGCATCTTTAATATCGATTTCCTGGATGTCACTGATCTCAATCTGAATTCTTCCATGGACCTTCACTTGCAGCAGTGGTAGGATGCCCGATGCACCAGTGCTATGGAAGACCAATAGGAATTCCACGGGGGAAAGCACACAACCATACATACATTACGATCCAAAAATAAAAGAAGAAGGGAATTAAAAAGAAGCAATGGAGACTTCTGTGGCAATCAACAAGAACAAATAGAAGTCATTTTTAAAATTATGTATTCTGTAATAGTTACCAACATTCAGTAGCTGTGAATGATTTCAACAATGCATTCAAAAATGTGCTTTCTCAGGTTAAGAATGCCAAAAAATATATTTCACTGCCTTTTCAAAGACCAGTATATTTTCTAGTCCATAATTTTTCTCAGGCTTTGTTGGGGCATAAGCTAACACTTTAAGCTTTTCTCATGAATTCACTAGATCTAACGTGGAAGGAAAATAAAGTCTTTTGGGAGTACAGGGAAGCCAGACCCTCAAAGGTTATGGAAGGCGTACCTGCGACAGAAGCTGCTGCCCAGGGTCTCCATTACCTATCTTTCAAAAGAGAAGGCATACTCAGCTTCAGTTCAAAAGTTCTTGAGACAGAGAGACAAAACCAATCTACTTCCAGAGAAGCTGAATCCACTCAATGTCCCTCTGCCACAAAACTGCCGCACTGGAGTGGTTCTGAACATATACCCAGGACTCTGTGTGGTCACTGATAACAGTTAACCTGAACTGAGTCCACAGAACTCCATCCAGAACTTTCTTCTATTTTAACCAGTGGCCCAATCATTCCCACCATCCCTGTGCTGATAAGTATGTGTCCTAGGTGAGAACCCTGAAGAATGCGGACCTTATTCCCCTGAAGGAGATGCCACAAGCTCCCCAACACAGCCCCCTTTAGTTCCAAAGACTGGAGATGACCAAATGGGCAGAAATATATCTCTAGGGACAGGAAAAAAGCTGTACCAGAGAAAATTCAGACAGTCCTAGAGAATAACATCATTTCACATACCCTGGGATAAATACCCTGGGTTCCTATAACAGGACTATTACTTATGCAAGTCCACCTCTCCTTTTGCTTTCTTCTTATCAGTTTATCTTTCTCCCATTCCACTTTTCCTTCGAGGTACCGGTCCTTTCCTGTTCCTCATTTGACATCTTTCTTTTTCTGCCCCAACATTGGGAGGGAAGGAAATCTCAGTTCTCACAAGCTGCCATAATCCGAAGAAAGCCATTTTTGAAAAAATTAACAATCCAGGTTCTCCTGAAGAACTCATTCTCCAAACACACAGTTTGCTGCAAAAGGAAGTTACAAAAATTTCTTTAGGAAGAAACTGGTGACTTGGTCCATCCGTCACAAAGTTCTTTCTAGTCTCACTTAATTTTCAAGAAATTATTGGTTTGTGTTGCCCTGGGGAAATTGGAAATCATAATATTGTAAAGATAAATACGGATGATATTTACAGGACAGAATTTCAGATCTGGGTTTTTGAAAGAAAACAGAATTGCACATTGAACACGATGGAAGGAAAAAGACAGCGGTCCAATGTGCATTCCTCATTACCTCTCGTGGCTTTGGCTGGGAGTTGGAAAAAACTAAAATTTCAGGACAGTCTCTGTAAGGCTCACTGTGGCTCCAATTCACCATTTTATATTGTTGCATGCTGTAGAAAGGAGCTATTGCTGTTGTTTTGCTTTTTTATTTAAATCACTAAGGCACTGTTTTTATATTTTGTAAAAAAAAAAATGTTCACTGTGCACTTATAGAAAAAATAATCAAAAATGTTGTGATTTTAGAAGCTCTCTTTTTGATAAACCAAAGATTTAGAAGTCATTCCATTGTTAACTTGTAAAAATGTGTGAACACTGAGTGTTTTTGGTGATTGCTACTCTGAAAGCTGCCAGATCTTATTCTGGGGGTGTGATGGGAGGGAAATACACATACACACACAGACACACACATGTGTATAATAGATATATACATATGTGTATATTATATCGGTGTGTGCATGTATCTTCAAAAGCAGTGTTACAGAGTTCTACACCAAAAGCCTTTAGCCCTTAATCTGCTGTGAATGATACCTGGCCTTTCTCACTACGAATTCCTGATTAATCAACCAGACTACACGTTGCCTCTCTGTGTATGACTAAGGACTCCAAACCGATGATTCACAGCTACTTGCTTATCGTGAACAAGCTCATCTTGGCGATGAATATGGACATGAAAAGACAGAACGGCTTCACCATTAGTAGCTGGAAATGGTATCACAGTCTCTTATAAAGAAGTATGAAAGGAACATGAAAATCATTTTACATTCCTTCATCTGCATTGTGCTTTAACAGATCCACATGGTAAATTTTTTATTTTGCTTTTATGTCAGTCATCAGAACCAAAAATCCAGAAGAAAAAAACTGCCAGTGTTTCCTTTGAAGATGAAGCTATGGGGAAGAAAACCTTATTAACACATTCCACACATTTGTTCATTCCTCAAATGTTGATGTTTCCTTGGGGTCTTGACAAAGCTTGCTGGTCAGTATACTTTTCAGGTGTCACGTTTTGCTGTTTGTATGTTATTTTTCTTGCCCTTCCTTTGGAAAACAAACTCACACTGTGCCCCTACTCTGAGACCCGGGACTGAGTGTTAATTATTTTTTTCCTTGGGTATGTCTGTCTGAGAGATGAGACCTAGTTAGGAGGCCTCTGTGCTTCTCCAGATCATGACTTTTTATGGGGATCTTTTAAGCTATGACCCAGGACAGATAGACATGCCTTACAGTAGACAAAAGATAAAATGGTTCTCATATCCTAATGCAAACCAACACAGTTAAAAGAGCAGATCGCATTTTTTAGTAGAGACGGGGTTTCATCGTGTTGGTCAGGCTGGTCTTGAACTCCTGACCTCGTGATCTACCCGGCTCAGCCTCCCAAAGTGCTGGGATTACAGGCGTGGTGGGGCACGCCTGTAATCCGAGCTATTCAGAAGGCTGAGGCAGGAAAATCGCTTGAACCCGGGAGGCGGAGGTTGCAGTGAGCCGAGATCGTGCCACTGCACTCCAGCCTGGGTGACAGAGCGAGACTCCATCTCAAAAAAAAAAAAAAAAAAAAAGAGCAGATCACTGGATAACTGCTCTCAATCTCCTTCTACAGTCTCCACAAACCACATTCACCCTCTGTCTTCATAGCTCAGACATGAAATTTGAGGGAGAAAACTGGAGATAATTGGAAGAAAATTGGTGAAGTTGGCTGCTTCCAGTAGCTCAGATAATCCATGAATTTGTCTCCCACTGAATTCTGTTTTAAATTGTTTTAAACATTTAGTCGTGTCTTTTGTGATGACAAATCAGGCATGACTAAAAGATGTACAGAGACTTATAAAGATGGTCACATTCAAGTTCCCTAATGCTCTTAGAACCTGAAGATGACCACGTGTAGTTTTCTTAAGACCTCTGAACCCCCGTGGTGATGAAGACTTGAAGACATTTGCAGCTATCCCCAGTGCTGCTGCAATCCGGTAGATTCATCCTTATCTAAAAGAGTCGGAAAATGTATTCGTGCAAGCACTTGCAGTAAGCCCGTGCTTAATAGTAGTGGCCCCGCTTCCAACAATGTTGTTGAGACAACACAAATTCCATTGTAAGGGAGGAAAGAGAGGGAGGGAGGGAGGAAGAAGGGGGAGGGAGAGAGGAAGGGAAGACAGGAGATGGGAAGGGGAAAGGAGAGAAGGAGGGAGAAGGGAAGGAAGGAAAGAAGAGAGGAAAGAAAGGAGGGAAGAAAGAAAGGGCCAAACTTTCTGATCTACGTATAAACTTCTCAATTCAGCTAAGATGTCACATTATGAGAAGTAAATCAGAATTTTTTTTTTAAGGAGAAGTCATTCTTATCATTACAATAACTGTACCAGTAATTGAGGAAGCCAAGACAGCCTTCACTTGAATAATCAAAGGTCTGAGAACTGTCAGCCTTTTGCCATTCAAAAACATTCACTTCCAACCTGAAAAAAGAATCAATAAAACCTAACACAAGCATTCAAGGTAGTCCTTTCCAAATATTATTTATTTTAAAGTCAATCAGCTTTTTAAGAAACAGATTCTGGTCTGGCTAAAAACTCCCACATAAAATTTACTCATCCAGTGGCTAATATTTGATGCCCACCATGGGCACAAATCTTCAGATATCCAATAATAAATTGATTCAGCACAGATTGTTCAGATTTGAAATGACCCAGGGAGTTGTATTTCCTACATGCAAGAACACTGAGAATCTCCCCGTCCTCAAACTAGAAACCTGTTAGCTATGATAAAAAGGGGTTTTCATTTTTCCAAAAGGGAGGGTGGAGTCGAGGATCACTTTTTAGCTAAAAGCTATCTCTCACTCCAAAATTCTCGTCTTTTTCTTTGTGGACAAACAGAAGTAGTCTATCCCTTGGAGATTTTTTTAATACCTCCCATCATTTAAAACATCCATGAGAGTTTGAAGATTTGTTTTGATTGCCAGATACAGAAAGCCCCTTGAAAATGAGGAAAGGGTGGAGGAAGCGTTTTTGTGTCCTATCCCTATTTATCATAGCAGCTTTATAGACAAAAGGGACACTAACTGGTGAGCATCTGGCCCTTAAAAGAAAAGCATCTAAGAATATGAAGGCAATTTGATTCCCCCTTCAGGCCTCAGCTGCCTTCCTCACAGAAGGAGGTTCCCAATTGCTGGTACACAGTTTGTTATCAGATATCAGATAGGAGAAAACTTGCAGTGAAAACAGTCTGGGTTCTTGGTTTTCCCATAAATTTAATATGAACCGAGAGGTTGGTTCACGGTCGAAATTGCCAATGCCTTATTAGACAGACGATACTGACAGACATACAGACCCAGGTCCCGGAACGTGACAATCCTATAGTGCCAAGATCTGGTCAGTTGTGTTTAGGAGCTGGGTTTGATTCTAGAGTCCAGGTTTATAGAGAAACCCTGGCTAGATGGAGACTACCCATGGGGAGATGATTTCAAGACAGGATGAGATCTGGGAAGAATGTCATTATCATCTGCTAGGGAAATTGTCATAGGACTCACTGAATGCAATAACATGTGAGTAAGTTCCCTTTTGATTCTGGGAATCAGCGATTTTCCCTGTGGGTCAAGACCAGCCGACCCCTGAAGTCCTCCTGTGCTTATTGTAACCAAGTGTTCCCATCATGAACATTGGAGCATGCATTTCCTAGAAGTGTTTTCCTAGCTCCTGTGTGTTCATGGAAAAAGGGAGTATAATGATGGGGATCCTGGAAGCTATTTTAATGTTTTCCAAAGGAAAGGAACCCACGCTGCTCCCCAGAGTTCCTTTCCAATGGCCCTGCAGTGGGAATGGAGGACAACAGATGGCTGGGTGCTTACAATCCTCCCTCAGTGAAGCACAAAGAGACACTTTGTAAAGAAAAAAAGAGCAAGTATAGGTTCTCTGCGGACCTATGGAGTGGTGTTTTTGGTCTCCTTGGCTCAATTATGCATGATCAGAAAGAAATGTGGGTTACTGGGAAGAGACAAAAAGCAGTGGCTAAAATACCAAAGTTGGCATGTGTTCTTTTTTTAAAAAAATAAAAAGCATATATTTTTAAATAAAATGTTTATTTTAAAAAGAAATGTAAAGCTTTTTTTTTTCTTGGCTGTGTGATGTATCCAGCCCTTGTGCTAAGTGCTATTTATATGTGCTATTTCCTTTTATCCCCATAACAGCCCAGTGAAGTGGTAGCATTATGATCCTCATTTTTGCATATAAAGAAACCAGGCTCAGAGGCTACCTAAATGGCCTAAAGTTACATGACTGAGAAATGGCAGAGGCAAGAGTCAGGCTGTGATTGCTCACCTCCAAAGCCCCGATCTTCAGCACTGCACACACTGCCTGAACTGATACTTACTATGGATCATACTAATAAAATCAGAATTTTTGCCAAACAGATTCTCAAGTTATGTATGCACCCGTTAAAATACACATACATGTATGCAACTGAGCCGATTCAGTGTTTTCATCAGTTTAGTAACTGAGCAAATTGAATAATAATGTAGGATAAATTGTATATCAAAAGACCTCTATGTATAGACTCCTTGAATAAGATCTAGTGTTTTTTGTTTGTTTGTTTCTTTGAGATGGAGTCTTGCTCTGTTGCCAGGCTGGAGTGCAGTGGTACAATCTCAGCCCACTGCAACCTCCACCTCGTGGGTTCAAGCGATTCTTCCCCCTCAGCCTCCCGAGTAGCTGGGACCACAGGCGAGTGTCACCACGCCCAGCCAATTTTTGTATTTTTAGTAGAGATGGGGTTTTACCATGTTGGCCAGGATGGTCTCGATCTCTTGACCTTCCGATCTGCCCGCCTCAGCCTCCCAAAGTGCTGGGATTACAGGCGTGAGCCACTGCGCCTGGCAAGACATAGTTTTTAATCTACTTTTTCCTCTTCAATTTACTCCTGCCTATTATTTTGTCATTGGTGAACATATAAACCACATAGGGGAAATACCACACGGTGAAACGAGCCCTGGAATGGACAAACATCCCAAGCCCTGGTTTAGCCAAGAACTGATCTCCCTATCACAGCTCTCTCTGCCCCTGCATCAGCCTTACTTTCTGGCAAGCTCTCCCATGTAGAATCAACAAGGTCATGGGTTGCCAGCAGTCCCACGTGTAGCAATTCCCGCAGGAAGAGAGTTTCTCAGTCCTAAGAGTCCTAGCAGAAATCTCAGTGGTCCCAGCAGGTCATGGTCATCCGTGAACCCATCTCTATGGCCATGAGAAGTGGGTATAATTTTTCCCAATGTTACCAATAAGGTATTGGCAAAGGAGAATGAGAGAGAGTGGTTAGAAAAGCAGGAGACGATGGTTTTCCTATCAA